CCCGTGTTATGAGTTTGTTTTGTGATAATCAATCTGCTTTGTATATTGCAAAGAATCCGGTTTTCCATGAGCGTACCAAGCACATTGAGGTGGATTGTTATTATTTTTGTGATGCGATTCAGGATGGTATCATTAGTCCGTCTTATGTGAAGACAATGGATCAATTAGCGGATATATTCACCAAGGCTTTGAGTAAAAGTCAATTCATGTATTTACTTGGCAAGTTGGGCATTTGTGATTTGCATGCTCCAACTTGAGGAGGGTGTTAGGGCCTATTATTATGTATAGTATATAGTTATCGGGCCTATCTCATGAGCCCTAATCTATTTTCTAGGTTGTATATATACGCTTGCTATACTCTAATGAAAACTACGGAAAATTATTTCGTGACATGTTCTTCATGCCAAATATTGTGATAATAGATTTGACTTGGACATGTTCAAGGACAAATGGGATGCTTCTAGTACATAAAAAGGAATTATGAGTATCACAGATGGGCTACGAAGAAACCATTGATTGAATGCGCAAGTGTGAAACCATTAATTGATGTCTAGGATATGACTGTTCAGGAGCTTTGGGATACAAATATAGGGTAGAAGTTTGAAAACTTTGCTGAGTACTTGCCTGCAAGTGTATTGAGTGAAATCGCTGTTCATCAGGTTATTGAAGATGATGATGTTGTTGACAAAGTGTATTAGAATGGAACTCCTACTAGGGGCTTTAAAATCCAATCAGATATTGATATTATCCGCACTAGTGAGGGAGCTGCTAGCATAGCGAGCAAGTTAGAGGGTGGAAATATATGGAAGATGCTTGGGCCTCAGCGGATCCACTTCTATTTTTGGCTGGCATTGCAAGAGAGGTTAATGACTAACAGGAACAGGTTCATCCGCACTCTTACTAATGATCCAAGATGTCCTATGTGTAGTGATAATGGTCTGAAGAGAGTGCTGAACATTTATTGAATATTGCCCATGTGGTATAGAGCTCAAAGACGCAATAAAAGACTTGAGTTCAAGCTTAATTCCCTTGTTTTAAATGGCGCGATGTTAAGATAAGATAGTATATCTTAGGGAATATATTTGCTATATCTTTGTGATTATATTGTGTTATTTTTAGGTAGGATAATATTTCCTAAGATAGATGAATTAGATTCCTACGTTATTTAGGTTTCTAAGATATGTATATAAATATTTAATTGATGATGAATGAGAAGGAAGAGACTTTGAGATTATCTTGACACGCGAAGACGATGGTGATATGAGCGAGCACTATACAAAGACGCCATGGTTGATTAGAAGTTGAGCCTAATTTATTTGTAATTAATGGCGTGAAGTTGATGATGTATATTGAACAATAGGTGAGAGAAGAGATAAAAATAAAAAATAAAAAAAAAGGGCCGAGGTTGGTTTAAAATACTCTTTTGGTTTTGATTTTTTAGGGAATAATCACAGCTCTTAGATTTAAAAAAATTCAAAGGTTTTTATTTATTCTCACATAATTAGGGATTCTCACTTGATCCCATATCAAATGAACAACATTTATCTGTTCATTTGATTAATGAGCAAATAATATTTGCTCATTTGATAAATGAGCAATAAATCTTTGATCATTTATTAAATAAGAAAACAATATTTCTTTGTTTTGTTTGGTTATTAATCAAATAAGCAACTAACTAATATGAAACCTTGAACTTACTATATCTGAAAATGTAAACAATTGTTGGAACATAAGAGACCAACCGCATGCTAGTTTATATTATGCACTTTATTTTTTTACCTATTTATGAAATTAATAGATAGTTCACAAGGTTAATTTAATACATGTTGTTCTGCTCATATCGTTCCAAAATGAGCAAACTGAAATTAAAATGAGCAAACTAAATTAAAACGAACAAAAACACACACAATAAAAATGTGTAGATGAAAATGAATAAACTTATATTAGAATCTCATAAAATTGCTCCATACTATCATCACAAAATACAAACTCATTTAGTATATAGCCACAGTTAGTTTCTCATCTATAATATTAGAAGTTGTAACTTGAGTAAGCTATAACGGAGGAGAGAGAGGGAGTTTATTACAATGAATAGACACTAAAAAACAATGTTTATAATTTTTGAATAAATTTAAATGTGCATAATTTTTTGCTAAATGTACATGTTGCGAAAGTTAAATGTAAATCGTTGGATTAATTTGTATGGTCAAGATTACTTCTCATTCTTCCTCGTTAATTTGTATGATCTACGCTTACTCACATATGGTTTTTTAATAAAGCTTGAGCCTCAATGAGGTAGTGTAGTTATAAAAATAATCCATCACAGCTAGTTGCTACAACTTCAAGGCACATCAAAACTTCTGAATTTCTTTTTAGATTTCCTTACTGTAAGTAGTTCTATTGTGACTTGAATAGTGGTACCAGACTATGTTCGGTTATTATGCAGTGTCCTTAATTCAATTGTCTCGCTGTTACAAAAAAATATGAAAAAGTTTAACCTAATGTGCATTCGTGATAAAAGTTCAACCAATACTACATATTTGCAGGTCAGGAAGCATTGCTAAAGAGATGTCGGAAGTTGGAAAAACATCCAATGATTAAGCAACAGATAATGCTATTCCAGACCAGATTTGTAAAAGGTGTTCTTTTCTATATATTTAACCCTTGCTAGCTTCTCTAAATCTTCCTAATAAATCATTGGAAACTCACAATTATACCTCAATAGCGTTTCTCTTACATTAGGGTGTCACAGCTTCTAAATGTAAATATTTTGCTTAATACAGATGGCCGAATATGATATTTTTCATTCATTGTTTGAATTTCAGGTAAACACTTACTATTTTCGCAAAACTAAAACTTACTCCTGAAAAGTATTATAATAGGAGGCAAATAAGGAAATTCTATTTTTTTTTCTATGTGACTATTTGTCCATGAAATAGGATCACAATAAAGTTGAATCTTAAATCGAGAGGCCTTTCTTGCATTGCTTTGAATGAAAGTGTTAAAGATCCTATGGGTTGAATAACCCTGATTTGAATTATGTATCCTCGTTCTATACATGCATGTTGACAGTTCGGTTAAATGCAATGATATATCCCAATCAGTGTAGTGCAACCTATAAATATATTCTTGCATGACAATTGTTTATTTTCTTTGGTTGGTTGGCCTATTCATCTCACCTGTTCTGTTATCATATTATCTCCTAATACTGATTAATGTATAAATCTCACAATTTTCTGTTTTGTTGCTTTATTAGAGTGTATGTTATCTCGTTGTTTTTGTTCTTATAGGCAATTAACTTTGACTGCAGATTGAGCACTATGTGTTTGCATTATGATTATGATCTTTGTTTACTTCACGTTATTTTTCTTATTTTAGAAAAAATAAGTTCATATCTTATTATCATTTTATGTATAATTTTTTATTACTATAAATATCTTTAATTTATTAATGAAAAAATTTATGTAAATTACATATAAATAAAATAAACATTACTACGAATCTAACAAGATCCCACTTGATATATTTTTTCCTTACAGATTATCGTACACTTAAGGTCAAAGTTTGGTCAAATTAGACAATAAGATCATATCAGACCAGATTAAATAAGCAACAAAAATAAGGTGAACTAAAAAAGGCCTAAGTTATCATTGAAAATAGGAACCAAAAATTGAAATTTACTAATAAAGGGAAACACTATACCTAAAAATAACAAGTGTAACCATCTATTAACAATGCAGGGAATAAATTAGTGTGATTGGTCCTTTTTCTTATACAAGGATTGATGACATGTACATGCATTTAATATCATTCGGTTTTGTTTTATTCAAATACAGCAATAAATGTCTTGTAATTCCCATTATACTTTCTAATAATGGGTTTTAAGGTTACTCTAAGCCCTTTAATTCCCGTGTAAATTTAGAAATAAGAATGTAATTTAGAGAAGAAGGGAGTACAATAATTAAGGTCCCGTTCACTTAACCTTAAAAAATAATATTAAGTAAAATAATTTCACTGCAGTAAAAATAATTTCAGTTCACAGCAAAAAAAAAGGTGAAATGAAAGGGGCTTAAGCTTCATCCACGTACCCCCTGAAAACTCTGGATGAAGCTACTTATATAATTGTCCTCAAGACCTTCCTTTAGAAGAAACTCTCTCCTCTTAGCTGCCCTTACCTCTTTCCCAACTTCACTTTCGAAATCCATGACCGTTGTGACCGTCTTATCGACGGCCTCCTTAGTGAAGTAGCCATCATCGTCTTGCCACTCTACTTCGACCTTCAACTCTATACTCATGAATCTTGCATTGAGGAACTGATCCTCTCCTTGATGAGGTACCAACGCAACATTAATTGGCATTCACTTACCATAGCTTTAGATAGAGACCCTGCACCACAATGAGTGTCACGAAACATCCTACCGAAGGATGCTGTAGGATCAGTTGTTGTTGCATCCATCCCCTGTGCACAATTAATCTTCCTTTTGTTCTCTCTTCAAATCCTAGCTTCTGGCAAAGCCGACTCCGTAATTTCGAAACCTAAAGGCGACTTCACTGTAAAAAATATTCTACTTACAAGATAGAAGGATTTGGTTGGTAAAAGAATGAAAATTTCAAATAATAAGATTTAGCAGTGTCTTGTAGTTGGTTGGTTAAAAGTGTTTAGTGAAATTTGGTGGACTAAATATAATTAGAAAAATAAGATACGTAAAATGAGACTTTTATTTTAAAGATATTGAAATAACGTACCAAATACCAACATTACCAAATACGGTGTATTTAAAGACTTCCATTATATTACTTCCATCATTACCTCTCAAATACCAACCCAAACAAAATTATATTTAACGATACATATATCATCATATTATTACAACCTCCAAAATATCAAACCATTTTTTCTTAAACTTTCAATCAAACTCTTTAAATACACTATGAACATCAACTCAAAGATAATATAATTCATAAATATCTTAAAATTTGAGTACTAGTTTATTCTAATTTCACTCAAGCAACTTTTGTAGATTATAAATGAAGCTACTAATATAAGATTCCTCAAGTCTTGGACCTTCCCTTAACAAATATTTTCTCCACTTAACACGATTAGCCCGCACTTCTTTTGCAACATCATTGTTTCCATCCATCACGGTCGATATTGCCTTACTAATGGCCTCCTTAGTGCACTCCTCAACCTCGATCCCAACCTTCAATTCTAAGCTCATCATTCTTGCAATGAGATATTGATCTAATATTTGAGGCAATAACACTAGTTGACATTCACTACTTATCATAGCTTCAGAAATTGACCCTGGTCCGGAATGTGTTACGAAACACCCTACCGAAGGATGTTGCAAGATAAGTTGTTGTTGCACCCAACCACCGTGCATCATTCCTCTTCCTTTAGTTCTCTCTTCGATCCCTTTGGGGAAGGCTGACTCTATTGTTCTGTATCCCGTTGGCGGCCTTAGGACTACAAAAAATGGCCTTCCTGCAAGGACATTGTAATTTGTCTAACACATAAATACATAATTATTCAATTACGACTTCAAAAAAATTAAACATAATACTCCCTCCGTTTCACTTTGTTAGTCCCATATAGAATCAATCACAAAAAATAAGAGAATGAATAATATTTGGAATCTTACATTTTAGTACAAAAATTGCTTAATTAGTTCTATCTTATTAAATGTTGTGATATTTTTTTTTATTTGGAAAACATCAATTACAATGCTTGTTTAATGGAATTGATGACCAATTAGAATATTTAATTACTGCCATGTCATCAATCCACTAATGGGATTAGAAATTATAAGACCAAATTAGGAAAATAAAATAAAATTACAAAAGGAAAAGATTCAATATGGGTAGATCATTTTAAAACGCCCAAAATAGTAAATGAGACTAACATTATGAAATGGAGGGAGTATCAAATATCTCAAACGAATATTTAATGGATAATGCTATACATAGCCCTTAGGGTTATATACAAACATTAAAAATACTCTTGAAAATTGTATAAAATTCGAAATTCATGACAAAAACACGCGTAAATCAGAGTAATTAGTGTGCTTTTATATTGATTTTCTAAATTTTAAACAATTTTCAAGAGTATTTTTAATGCTTACGTATATGTAGCCCTTATGATTATGTATAACATTTTCCATATTTAATTATCACAATAAATTCTAAAAATATACGAGTTTATATTAATTACTTATCTAATATTGGAAACATAAATTACAAATAAAGGAGGAAAGAATTCTATGAAAGTAAATGCATGTAATCCGTGTACAATAAAGGGAAGATTTTTTTTTTTTTTTGACCCGAATAAAGGGAAGATTACATAAATATAATGAAATAATTTGTTACTCCGTTATATAAAATTAATAGAGATACTGATAACAAGTAATTTACGTAAATAAAAGAACATGTAGGTGTAATAAAATTGTATGTACGGTTGAAATTTTTAATTTGTTAGACGTAAATATGGAACATGGAAGCTTAGTATGATTAAAAATTTAAAACAATACAAAGAACATGTAACTTCGTTGAGTGTAGTAATTAATATGATTGAGTAATTAACTAATTACAATGATATTGTGGCCAAATTTCGATTCTATACTTTGTATTTTACAAACGATCTTGCTAACAAGCGCTCCGGGGCGTTAGATAAGGATAAATTATATTGGTTGAAATGGTATTAAGTTAGGAATTCATGACAAAATCACGCGTCGTTCGGTGTAATTAATGTTAATTTTACTCTAATATTTACACTTTAATTCTCTTATCTAACGCCCCGGAGCGCTCATTAGCTTTTGCCTTTTACAAATTAAATATGAATTACGTAGTAAATAGGGCAAAAAAACGCACCTGTGAGCTCTAGTCCAAGAAGAAGATGTTGAAAATGGTTAAGATTCATAACACATTCACTCCCAAGTGCACAATATATTACACTCGCATCATCAAAACCTTGAAGCCAACCATGAATACGTTCATCGAGTTTCGAAGAGGCAAGTTTAGTGATTAAAGGCCCTGCTAAAAGCACAGGCTTACCATAAACTTTCTCAACATACTCACAATAAGCCCCTTCCAACTCTTTAAAACTCTTAGCTCCAATTGCATCACATTCGCGTAATGATTTGTTCACTCTATCTAGCAATGTTAGATGTTCTGGTCCGTATACTGTGTTCACTGGAGCTGCCTCAACATCGGCGGCTTCTTGAGCACGCAACCATATGGATTGGGATGGAAACCCTGGTGGTGGCGCGACAAGGTCAGCCGCTGTGGGGTTGTTACTTTCTTTCCTTTTGAAGGGACAAAAATAAGCAAATGTCATTACATATGATTGACAAAAATACACGGCCTTGATCCCGTGTTTTCGGGCTAACTCGGGCATCCAACAAGTAAAGTCATAGAAAACTATATCAGGCTTTACATGGAGTAGATGATCCTCCATAGTGTCACGAGTCATATCCATGGCCCTCATCAAGAAGGTCAGGGCTGAGGCGGGCACATTGTTGGCCGCCCCAGCCCCAGGAGGAAGCCCATCGACATGCGGGATGTCGATGGGAATAAAGGAAATGTGGTCAGGGTGATGGTTGTAAGAGGCTAATTTAGTTTGTATTTTGGAAGGGAGAAAAAACGAAATTTGGTGGCCTCTTTCGGCAAGTTGATTGGCTAAGCGAAGGTTAGGAATAAGGTGACCAAAAGCATACCATGGGTAAAATGCTACTTTTAGAATTTTGGAGTTTTTGTTGTTAGACATTTTGATTGCCAAATCTCTTAAACTATTACTCCGTATATTGCTTTGGTTTTGTGAGCTAATGCATGTTTATATATATACACATATATATATTTTATATAGCCTTAGACATTAATGGGGTGTATAACATGAACGATAAGAATAAGGTGGTATGAATGTGTATAAAGATACGAATGTATTAATGAGTGGGTAAAGATAAAATAAGTACGTGTTGTTTCTAATTTGATAGTAGATTATAATCTATATATTAATGTACATGCATGTGTAAACTTCCATACGATTAAGTATTCAAATTGTGTCATCATCTTCTATTGGTTCATTGTATTTAATTTATATATCCATCAATTTTTCATTGTTTTACGGCATACAAAGATTTTTTTTTTTTTTTGGTTTAAAATTTTAAACAATATTTAGAGATAAACAATTCGTTCGTAGGATTTTTTTTTTTTTAATTTTATAAAGAGCTAGAGTATCTATTACCACCATTATACGAGTACCTATATTAATCATGTAATTATACAAGTTTATCTCTTAAATATATAATTTTATCTTGTATAATGAACATGTTAATATTAAGTTTTTATAAATATAACCTACAAAAAATGAGTATGCTAGTATAATGAACCAAACTAGTATAATTAACATTTAGCTAAAAACTTAGGGCATGTTCATATTTACTGAACTGAGCTGAACTGAACTGGACTGATTGGAGCTGAACTGAACTGAACTAAACTGACTGGAGCTGAACTGAACTGAACTAAGCTGAAATGAATATTTTATGAGAGAGGGAAATTAAGAGCTAAACTGAACTGAATTGAACTGATTGGAGCTAAACTGAACTGAAAAATAAGTAAATATAAACAGGCCCTTAGTTCATTTCGATTTTCGGTTAAAAAAATCAAATTTTAATAGGTTCGATTCTCATTTGGATTGGTTGGTGTTGGAATTGGATTCTAGCAACTTACAAATTAGGAAAAAATCAATCCAAGAAACAATTAAAAATACAAAATTTGACTCCACTTATACATAAATAAGAAAATAAGTAGAAAAAGGAAAATATGCATAATCAAAGATATCAATAGAATCATAGCTTATCAATCAAGGATTTGATTGATCCAATCAAGAAATAAGTAATCAATTAAAGATTTTATGAAATCAATCAAGACTATAGAATCAATCTAATAAAAGTTAAATTAGGAAATAAATCACTTGATTGGCGAAATATTATTTGCGCAGTGGTCGTCCCAGTACGGACTTAAGTGCGCCTTATTGAGTAAGTCGACCGCCTTTTTGAAAAAGGCAGCTTCTCTTAAAAAGCTCGGACCAATTGATGACATGTAATAAATGTTTGGACAACAAGCACAATTACATCCCATGATTGAAGCAGCAAATCAAAGAAATATTAGTCAACTAAGTAAACATTTTCCTAAAAGATGAAGATGTCAATCAATATTTTCAACATTACCAAAATAACCAGGATTTTTCAATAATTACCTTTATTAGATTTACGAATCATTATGAATAGGATACTCTTTGTAATAGAATTAATTCATACATTGTCTAATACAATTCTATACTAAAATATATGATATTATTCTTTCTCCCCTGCTCAGCAGCTCAGAATACTTCGTCCTACTCAGAATGCCTTTATTACTTTGATCTTTGTTCTTTGATTTATTATCATTGTTTTAGTTCTATTATTTTATTGCTCTTAACTCGCTTATTTGGATAATATGCCTATTTACTTTTGGTAAATTTGATTATTAAAACCCCTTAAAAACTTTTAACAAAATCCTAGAAACCTCTTTCTAAGATATGTCCAAAACAGTTAATTTCAAACAATTAAACGATTTTGATTTGAAATTTGAAAATGCTAATTATTGAGGTATAAAGTTTGGATCAACAATGGGGTACAAATGAACCGAAGCCGTTGTTTTTTTTTTTGTAAGAGAACCGAACCGCTGTCTAGTTGAAGTTCTTTTGATTTCTAGATATGTGCACCGAACTAAAGACGTCGGCAGTGTGGAATTGAATTGCAATAATAAGCCAATAAAGGCAATAATATACTGTCCTTCTTTTGGTAAGGGCCCGATCTATCTAACCATTATAGTAGCAGCAACGTGGCGGCCCAAAACTTCAGCATGCAATAGTACTTTTTTCATCAGATCACCAGTTCACCACTGCTTAGTGCTTCCCACCGTCACGCCCATTTCTGAGACTTTGAAGGCCTAGAGGCGGATGAAAAAAATGGGGCCTTTGTAAACTAACGACTAAATTGACTAAGAGAAAATTTTGGGTATGCACAAAAAAATTTACCAAAGACTTTAATATTTCAAAACTTCTAGGATATGGTAGAATGAGTGACACCCCAACACCTACAATATAATATTGATAGTACAAATTAAAAATTCAGCAGAAAAACTTGTATGAACCTGGTTCACAATAATATTATGGTGGACCCGAAGTTCTACATGTGCGTTACTGGCTTTGTATTGAACATAGTGACCCTAATATTAAGTATAGTAATCTTAATTTTAACATAGTAACCTTTAATAAAATGTGTGTAATTTTTAATATTGTTGCAAATAAACCTGAAGTATGATGTTATGATCCAAATTTTAACCTAGTGACCTATATTATTAATATTGACCAGTATTTTAAATTTTTCATTTAAAATTTTTTTATCTCTTATGACCTTTATAAAAAAATCACTTTTATTTTAACATAATGACCATTCTTATAACATAGTGACCTTTTATTAAAATTAATAAAATGACCACAGTATCTCTATTATAAGTGGTCCACAATAAATTACTGTGAACCAGGTCTATTTAAGAGTTTGTAAAAATTCAGTACAATTGAATAAATTATTAAAAGTTTATCATTTCACATACTGATAATTTTTAACTAAAAATTAATCAATTATCATTCTACATTTCTACACTTCGACATACTGATAATTCATAATTAAAAAATCAATCTATTTATCAATTTGACATATTGACAATTTGATAATTCATAATCAATTAATCATTAATCAAATATGAAATATCATAATTCAAACAAAATTAGAAATTAGAATGAACTGGAAAAAATATAAATTTGACATACTATTCATAAATCAGAAATTAAAATTCGTATGACATAAAATTAATATAAGTATTTCAGAACTTCTCTTGTAAAATCGAATAATCTATACATTATATTAAAATAAACTAATCAATTGTAATTTCTGGGAAAAAAATTAATGTACAGAACTTACCAATGACTTAATAGCAGGCCCGTACCGTTTCTGAGTTCATCTTCGAACATCGAAGCCAAAATCCATAATAATGGTGAAAAATTAATAGAAACAAATAGAAAAAATTGATTAAGTAGATTGATATGTAAAGAACAATTGAAATAGTATAATTTATAGGAAAATTCATATATTTTAATCCCGTTAAAAATTGATTGCAAAGAAGAACGTTTATGGGGAAATCATCATTTTAGCATTAATTTGGGAAGGAAGATGAAAAATCAGAAAAATATAGGTAATGATACAAATAATTGATTTCATGGATGAAAATAAAAGATTATACGGATGAATTGGTTAGATAATGGAATTAATTTGTCAAATTTAACTTTCCAAAATGAAGGAGTAAATTTCAAGGAAGAATATTATTGATTTAATGTGAGGAGTTATTAAGGGAATGCTTGACTAACTTACAAAGAAACTCTGCTTACTTCCTTATTCGTAATATTATAATTATAATATATATATATATATATATATATATATATATATATATATATATATATATATATATATATATATATAACATAAATTTGATTTTCAGATTTTGGGGCCTTGGGCGGGTGCCCCGGCTGCCCCGGCCCAAATACGGCCCTGCCTCCCGTAATAACCGAAATTTTTATTTACTATCTCTGCATTATATTATTTTTTACGATTATACACTTTTTCTCTCTACTTTATATCAAATTGTTGCAAATAATATGTAACAAAGGTAGTACAAAAAATGGTAGGGAGAAGGCCACTTTTCAGATGGACAGATCTAGTTCTTTTACAAGTCAATCCGATTAGAATAGGATACGCAGACATGTCGAATAAGATCCTTTTTAGAGTTAGGAGTAGAGCAAAAGAAAGGTAAGGAAATCCCCATAGTCATCGACATATTATTGTTACATTTCCATTGTTCTTTCTATATAAACTATCTCGGTTTCTTTTATTTACAGTACTTTTAATTTCAAGCTAGTCAATGTACTGTATTATTTATATCTTTAATATACTTAATAATGTTAAATTTAATATTATAAAGATATTTTAATTTTTAATTTTTAATTGAGGTAAATTTAGTAAGTTCCCAACATTTTTTCACAAGTGTAATGAGACTAATGGCTGTATCATCATGCAAAAATGAAAAATGCAACCTCACTTTATTGATTCCTCTTCTTAGCATAGGTGCATAGGTACATACGTACATTGCCTTATTAAAAGACTTAAATAAATAAATAAAAATATAGAGTTGAATCAATTAAGCTAGTTTCATCCAAGCAGGTCTTGAAGACTCTGAAGGAAGCTATTCGTGTAAGAGTCCTCAAGACCTTCCTTCAAAAGAAACTCTCTCCATTTAGCATGGTTAGCCCTAATTTCTCTCCCAACTTCACTCTCCGGTTCCATGACCGATGAGACCGCCTTTACGATGGCCTCCTTAGTGAAGTAGCCATCATTGTCACGCCTCTCAACTTCTATACCAACCTTCAATTCTACTCTCATAAAGTTTGCATTGAAGAATTGATCCACTGCTTATTGAGGCATCAACACTAGTTGACATTCACTTACCATATCTTCGGATAGAGAACCCGAACCACAATGATTTAGGAAACATCCTACGGAAGGATGCTGTAAGCCTGTAAGATGAGTTGTTGCTGCACCCAACCCCCGTGCATGATTCCCTTTCCCTTTGTTCGCTCTATAAACCCTTCTGGCATGGCCGACTCTA